TATATATATATATATATATATATACACACACACACACAATCATACATACATACCTACAATCACACGCGCGCACACACACACCAATAAATAGCCTTGTCCCTCAAGAACTGTGACATTGTCTTAATTTATACATGTTATACGTATAATATATACTAGTTTATAATCCGTAGGAACCAGGATTACAAAATTAATTAAACTTTCATAGTAAAAGCTCAAAATTATTAACCAATTATTTTACATAGAGAGTAAATTACATGAATAGTCCCTATGGTTTAGGGTAATTTGCACGTTTGGTCCCTAACTTTTTTTTTAACTCGGAAGGTCCCTACTGTTTGTTTTTGTTACGTGCTTGGTCCTGTCTTACCTAAAAAGACTACTTTCCCCTTTATTTTTTATTTACTTAAATAAACACACCCTCAATCCCACCCCCTTACCTTACCTTACCTACCCCACTACTTTTTCCTATTTAAATAATAGTCTTTATAGGTAAGATATGGACCAAAAGTGTAATAAAAACAAACAGTAGGGACCAAGCGCATAACAAAAACAAACAGTAGAGACCTTTCAAGTTAAAAAAATAAGTTAGGGACGAAGCGCGCTAATTACCCCAAACCATAGGGACCATTCGTGTAATTTACTCTATAAATTATTAATTAAGAGATATTTGTTTAGTTATATAAAATTTTAATCGTTGATTTAAATAAACACATGAAATTATATCATCTTATAATCTGTATTAATTTTATTTTAATTTTTATTCCAATGTTATTAATTTAATGTAAATAAAGTGAGAAATTTAAAATTTAAAATGGGGAATCAATAGGTTGACAAATGACATGACATTAATTATGAGACATAATAGGGTGACACATGGGAAAAAAAGATTAAAAGTATTATTTTATTAGAATAGGAAGATATGACAACGAAATGTATATAGGTCATACATGCATCATCCGCATGAAAACATACATGATCAATACATAATTCTTGCTTATTTTTTAATTTTATTTTGAGGTGATATCTTGCTCCTTCAGTTTGTTATGCAACCATGTCTTCTGTTTTGTCGACATTTGAGGTGATATATGAATGGAAACTGAACTTATTTATTCGACAATAAATATGAAGCATATAATTAAATAGGAAAAGGAATTGTGTTCTTAGTCATATTGAGGAGGAGTTGGGGATTTTTTAAGTATGGATTCTTAGTCCCTAGATAAAGATAAAAATGTTAACTTAATGGTAAGCGCTCTAACCACCTAGTCCAGGCTTGACACTACATGGTAGTGGTTGTGACTTTAGGAGGTGGTGGTGGTGGTGAAGGAGATTTAGGAGGTGGTGGTGACTTAGGAGGTGTTGGTGGAGACTTCCCATGGATGGATGGTGGTGGTGGTGGTGGTGGTGATGGAGACTTAGGAGGTGGTGGTGACTTGGGAGGTGGTGGTGACTTAGGAGACTTCCCATGAACGGACGGTGGTGGTGGTGGAGACTTAGGAGGTGGTGGTGACTTAGGAGGTGATGGTGGAGACTTACCATGGATGGATGGTGGTGGTGGTGATGGAGACTTAGGAGGTGGTGGTGACTTAGGAGATGATGGTGGAGACTTCCCATGAGTAGATGGTGGTGGTGGTGGTAGAGGAGACTTAGGAGGTGATGGTGACTTAGGAGGTGTTGCTGGAGACTTCCCATGGACGGATGGTGATGGTGGTGACTTAGGAGGTGATGGTGGAGACTTTGGAGGCGTCGATGGAGACTTCCCATGGATGTAAGGTGGTGGTGGCGATGACTTAGGAAGCGGAGGTGGTGCTGGAGACTTGCCATGCATAATTGGTGGTGTCTTAGGAGGTGGTGGTGATTTCGACGGTGACTTAGGAGGTGGTGGTGATGATGATTTAGAAGGTGGTGGTGGCGACGGAGATTTACTATGGATTGGATGATTAAGGATCATATATGGTGTTTTATCTTTATAGTATGCAGTAATTGATAAAGGAATGCTTAGAGAAAGTAAGGCTACAAGAAGAGGCACAATCAAAGTGGCCATTGTTGGCCCCTTCGCTTTTGTTAATCTCATTTTCACGACTTATGCTTCCATGCATGCATACTTCTTCCTTCTTTATAGTTGTATCTTGACCTGAAAGTTACCTTTATACCCTTTATATAATTATCATTAAATTAGAACAAATAAAGCAATATAAAGTATTATCATTAAATTAGAACAAAAGAAGCAATATAAAGTAAATATATGTTTAAAGTAAAGTTTACAACGTCAAATATTATACGTAATTTAGTAATAACTAGTAATCAATACTTAATGTTTATATTAATATGAAAAAATTTGATAAATTGATGAACTTACATCAATATCATATATCTGAAAAATAATCATTATTTGAAAAATGTTTCAAATATTAATTGATGACATACGGCTGTATAAGTATATAACACATCCTAGTTTGATCATCTTTATGTAATGATCAACTTTTGTTGCACGGCCTACTAATTGTCTATAAGAGATACATTGTCCATATTTAAGTATAGATGGCAATTAATCTGAATTTTGTAGATTTACGAGCGTTCATAATAGTAGGATTTATTTGATGATTTTTTTGACAAATAAGGGTAATTCGTGAATTTAATTAGTTAATAAAATTTCCCTTTTATAAAAGACCTTTTTCATCACTGATATATGACACCTACCAAATTAATTAATATAATTTGATTGTATGAGTTATCTTATATATGACAGCTACCTAATTAATTATCTATTTATAATTGCTTGTAAATTTATAAAATTCATTACAGTCATCGAAAAAAATGAAAAATATTTTGTGAGTTTATAATTATTTGAAAAGGTTTTGAATTGGATACACTATTATAATAAGCATTTGGAAAATCTAATTAGCTAGATAAGATTTGACACCATTACAACAAATTGTGAACACCATTTAAAAAAACATTTTGGTATTTAAAGTATAAAAATAAAATTATACTTTTTTGTGTGCTTAAATATTTTTAGATTATAATAACACGAATCTTGAACAAAACTTTTTAATCAAGTGTCTTAAGTCTCCACAACTTTTAATTATCCTAAAGAAGCAAAATAAAATCACAATGCTTCGGGTCTAAAATAACAAACTTCCTTATAAATCAATTGTAAGTTACTGATTCACGTGATTGTGGTATCTGTCTTTTTTCGTCACATGCGAAAGAATGGTGCGATTGACATGCAGCTTTTGTAGATATTTTAATTTTTATATTTAAAAATAAATTTAAAAAGAAGAAAAAAATAAGATAAAAACTTCTATCTTTTAGTTTAAACAAAAAATTTCAAATTAATAAAAAGCTATTTCAAATAACGTTTAATAAAAAAAACTCTTATATTTTCTCAAATTGATTTTATATCCTTTTTAAAAGTTATGTTTCTATTTTATGTTTGGCATGCAACATTTTAGAGATTTTAACTTTTTTATTTAAAAAATAAAACTAAAAAAAAATCCACAGTAAAAACTTGTATCTTTTAGATTAAACAAAAAACTTAAAATTGATTAAAATCTATTTCAAGTAGCGTTTAAGAAAAAACTATTATATTTTCTAAAATTGACTTAATATCCCTTTTTAAAGTTATGTTTCTATTTTATATTTAAAAAAAAAATATCATTTTTGTAACGTCCTAAATACTCAGAACCAAAAATTTTGTTTTTATATTAAATAAACCATCAACCAAACATGTTTATCAAAACCATAACGAAATCAGAGTATATCAATAAACATCCAAATATACATCATAGTCCAATAAAGCGAAAATCATGGTGTGTGCAATGCGATCATCCCGAGCTTTTCCCCTTTGAACCAGAAGTATACCTGAAACATAAACTGAAAACCGTAAGCACAAATGTAACATCCCAAAATTTAGGGCCAAAAATTTCATTTTTAAATATAATAATTGTAAAGCCATTTGTCTGAAAACAACCATAGTATCAAATCATATCAAAATCAAAGTATCAATAATAAAATCATGTCATGATAAAACAACATCAGAGTATAAATCCCAAGAATCTCATATGCGGAAAATCGTGTGTGGGATGCTCTGCTACCGTACCGGCTCCTTTCCCTTCGAAGAAGAAGGACCTGAAACAAAAACTGAAAACCGTAAGCACAAAGCTTAGTGAGTTCCCCCATCATACCACATACCATATAAACACATAATGCCTAGCATATTTGGGTGTTGGCCTCCCCTTCGGTATCTTTCAACTGGTAACTGCTTAGCATATCTGGGTGTTGGTCTCCCCTTCGGTATCTTTCAACCGGTAATTGTCTAACATATATGGGTGATGGCCCCCCCTTCGGTATCTTTCAACCGGTAACTACCTAGCATATATGGGTGTTGGCCTCCCCTTCAGTATCTTTCAACCGGTAACTGTGGACTATTTCACCCCTACCACTACCATATAACAACATACCATCCTAGCACATAAAGCATAACAGATGGTGGCATACCAGATAATTATCACAAAGATAATCATCTCAACTATAATCAATACTAGTGGGCCGACATTGGTGCCTTCGACCCACTCCTACTGGAAGGTAACTCACCTCGAATGTCGTGTAGTAGCTGAAATGTCCTCGGCTCCTGGATCAACTCCTCTCAAACTCCTACACATAATTATCTCCTTTAGTTACCCTTTCAAACTTATAACCACTTTAAGGGTCAACTCTGGTCAATGGTCAAAGTCAAAGTCAACATCCTGGTTGACTCAACTCGCCGAGTTGGTCCATCAACTCATCGAGTTCCATGATCCATAAAACCCTGAAATCTCGATCCAACTCGTCAAGTTCTTTCATGAACTCGTCGATTCCTCCTCATCACATAGTCGGGACATTTTACTCACAACTCGCCGAGTCCCTCCTTGAACTCGTCGAGTCGCTCAATCTCCATAACCCAAAATCATGGCCAACTCGCTGAGTCATCTCATAGACTCAACGAGTTTGCTCAGTTACAAAAAAGGTTGGGGGACCACGACCCAACTCGCCGAGTTGTATGAACAACTCGTCGAGTCCCCCATAGTCTAAACCCATTCAGTCGTTTCTAATCGGGTGCAAAGCTTCCAAACCATAGATCTAGTCCCGTAGGACTAAGTTACCACGTAAAGTTTCTAACTTTACGTCCATGCATGGTGTCATGAAGCTAAAAACACCAAGACTAGGCTATATAAAAGATCTAAGGCATGGGGAAAGGCCAAGGCTTGATAAAGCTGGCAACTTTAAGCCTTATAAGCTCATAAGTGCCTAGATCTTAAGTCACAACTTCATGATACACACAAATCCCAAAAATGACTTCAAAATGGCCCAAAAGTAACAAAATACAATCCTAAATGAAGATCTAAGCAAAGGAAAGCCAAGGTATCGACTCTATACCTCAAATGAGTCAGAAATGCAGCACAACTTCCGGATCTACTGGCTTCCTCTTGAACCCTCAAGCTTCTCCTTCCATCTCAAGCTTCAAAATCACCAAGAACATACAATAATGGCTCAAAAACACTCAAAGGTGGATTAGGGTTTCGTAGCTAGAGTTTGGGGTGATGGAGGTTGCAAATGAGGCCAACCTTTGGAGGTTAACGTGTTTAAAGAGGGTGCAAAACCCTGAACATTAGGGTTTCACTCTGGTAGCCCTAACCGTCGAGTTGAGGCTCTCAACTCGTCCAGTAGACTTCAAGTCCCGCGTCCAAATTCCATTCCTACTCGACGAGTTTGGGCCTCCAACTCATCGAGTCCCCTTACAAAAATGAATAATTTGATTTAAATTACATACTAGGATCCGGGCGTTACAAATATCCCCCACTTATTTTAGACTTCGTCCTCAAAGTTTGCTGCGTCTTGGAATAGCTCTGGGTAGTGCTCCCTCATCTCTTCCTCCGGCTCCCCGGTTCATTCCGAGTCCTTGCGGTGCTGCCATTGCAACTTCACCAACTCAACCCTCTTGTGTTGGGTTTTGAGCATTCTAACACTTCCTAAGTGTACATGCAACCCTATTAAACCTTAGATCTATGT